CTCTCCTTCTTAGCAACACTAATACCTGCTCTTTCCAGAACTTTCCATGAATCTCTCACCCCATTATCCCCACACCTTTGTGCTATTCATCCTGCTATTCCCTCAAACTGGGACGATTTCCTCCTCTTATACTGTCTCCCCACCTGTCTACTTTCAGTCCCTCAAAGACCACCTCCTCTGTGAAGCCTCCCCTGATCACCTCTACACTGAATAGGCCAAGTTACTTCTTCCTCCACTCTGTGTAGGCCTTAATGGCTGCACAGCCTACCATGTTATTATTCATTCTAATGTATGTCTCCCCCTTCCTCCCAATTTATTTCTCACTCCATCACCTCTATTATGACACATGACTATTACCATGTGTCAGGGGCTCATTCAGGGCCAGGCAATGTGCAAGTTCCTTTTCACACATTGTTCTCATTCCTAAGTCACCGAAATGGACACTAGGGGGATTTGTCTTGAGTACCCAGCATCTATGCCCCTTCCCACCAACCCGGACTTCGTCTCCCCGCATCACCACAGGAACTCGTGGGTGAAGACACCTCCCCTGTCCCACTGAGCTCATTCGGGCCACGGGGAGGTGGTGTACAGAGGAAAAATGGCCAACACAGGAGCACCCCAGAAGCCTCAGTACCTGACGACAGACAGGACAGGCATTTCTGGCTAGCTGGGCCCCTGTCCCGAATCCCAGCCCCCCATCAGGCAGTGTTGAGCAGCCCACCAACATGTGCCTTTTTTCCCAAGTTGACCAGATGTGGCTCACGTCCAAATAACTCCACTGCCCTGGCCACGTGGCCGCAAGGACATTTTTCCAGATCTTTCTGCAGAGCTCCAAGAACAGAAGGGTAAGAAAAGAGAGCACAAACATGCTAAAAGTTTCCTGAATCATTTAAGGTGAATAACAAGATCTACCCTTTGTACTCAGGTGAATTTTTTTCCCTTGGTCTACATGGCATTTTCAGTTGATGCTCAGCAAATTAGGTTAAGTGATTCTTTTAGAGAAACACACACCAGTAGCACGTGTATGGGGTGTCACATTCCAGTTTTGGTTTCAGACCAAAAAGCAGATTTTGTGCTGTGTCTCCAGTCCCTGGGGACCAGGCCTGTGCTAAGATACAGAACCCAGAAGGAAAGAAAATGAAGACCCCGCTGTCCCCAAACCTCTGCCCCTTGCCTGCTGGGGGAACAGCCTAAATGGAAGACAAAGACATGGAGACCGGCTGTCTGGTCAGGACACGGGGATTTTGTCTTGCTGGGTCCGAGGCACTGCGACCACTCAGAGAACCTGCACCGCTGAAGGTCGGGGCAGGGACCAATCCCTGCAAGGATGGACGAGGCGGGTGGAGCCGAGTATTCAGGGAAAGCGGGTAGAGGGAGAGGAGAGCCAGGGCCAGGGGGACGGGGTGAGGAGCGCGAGGGATCTTGGGGAACCCACACATTTCTAAAAGGGAGCCTTTAGTAATTTTATGCCGAAGTTGCTGCAGGAGCCTCCTCCCAACTTAGAAAAGTCTACGTGCTCATCATGCCAGTCCCCACCCCATTCTCGTGTTCAGGAACCTGGGCTGGGCGCGGGTGGTCTGAGCCACGTACAGTTGAGTCAAGGTGTGGGGCTGGGGCTGGGGAAGCGCCTGCACCAGGGCTCCCCGTGTGGCTGGCAAGCGGGTGCCAGCTGTTGGCCAGACTTTGGTTTTGTGACCCACGGACCCCCCAACGGCGCTGACTGAGTGTGCTCACGACAGGGCGCCTCCTGTGACAGCCCCACCGTTACACGCTGTCACTTTTGCCATTTCCTGTAAGTTACACGGGGCTGCCCTGCTCGTGGTGGGGCGGGCGGCCGGGGCGTGACTGCCGGTGGAGGAGCTCCCCAAGAGCCTTCCTGAGGGCGGAGGGCTTGTCATCCATCGACTCTGTTTGGGAAATGCTGAGAAAGCTCTGTGTTCTGGGTCCAGAGCAGCAAAGGTGCTAACAGAACCAGGGGTGCAGGACCAGACACGGAGGATCTGAGCCCACAGGAGTCGGGGGTCCTGATAGTCTCTAGAACTTGTCGTCTAAGACTCCAGTATCGCTCGCGGCTGACGGGCACAGAGGGTGTGTGACCTCCTGATGTGGCTGGGCCGGCGCGGCTGTGCGCGTAGCCACCATGGGAGGTGAGGGCCAGCGCCCAAGGCCACAAATATCCAGGGGTATTTAGAAGTGCCCAGATGGATACACTGGCTCAGAGATTCAGTTGTGGAAAGGACCCCAGGGTACCTCATGATGAGGTGCTGAGGTACCCTCTTGCCTCGCTTGGGGCTGAGAGTCCCAGGTGAGTTTGGCCAGCCCACCTCCCCACCTGCCTCAGCAGAGCAGGCCTGGAATGTGCCCTGAAACAGGGAAGGAGTGGGGGTCCAACCCCCTGGGGCTCCACTAGAATGTAACCACGTCTGCCCCGGGCCTGGATCCTGGGTCCCCAGCCCCTCATCAGGCACAGAGGGGGCGCCAGGAAAGCACTCTCAGGCTGAGGGTCCTCCTCACCCTCCAGGGGTCTGTTCCAACACGGATGAGGCCTGCAGGCACATGCGGCCCTGGGACAGACCCCTCCCAACCTTCTGAGCCCGGGGTATCCTTAAGAAACCCTCAGGGAGTGCAGAAGGGGATAGGGGGCCTCAGGGTTCTCTGTGTTTACCTGCTCTCTCGGGGTGCCTGATATTTGGTTCTAAGTGCCATTACGTGGGACTCCATAATTCTGCCATCCAGGGATCTGCAGGAGCCTCCAGCTGGGGCCTGCAGCCACAGCAGGGGGTGGTGTGAGTGTCAGCTGGCTCGGTGTCCAGGTCAGGCAGCAGCCTGCATTATTAAACCATCTATCTGGCCTGCCCAGAGGGATGCGGGGGCTGGGGGGCAGACTGGCTTCCACTGCCTGGGTCCAAAACTGGGGCAGCAGGAGGCCTCTGGGAGCTGGAGGTCACCAGCCTCGAGACCCAGCTTGTCACCGCTGACCTGCCGCAGGCTCCAAGGCGCGGGTGCTGCGGGGACTGGGAGGCGCTGACTGGCTCTTTCCCTGTGTTCTTTCTCTGCTTCAAGTCTTCCAAGCTCTGCCTCCACTGGGTAAAATGCCAGCGCTGTACCCCAGCGTCTGGAGTCTTCTGCAGCCGGGCCATGCTCTGCCTGGAATCAACAATAGCTCGAAATGGAGGAATTTACTATCTCTTCCAGGCTCGATGCCAAGTGTGTCCCGCGGGTTAAAGTGCTGGTGAATAACAGCCACCACCCTATGCGGGGCTTCTTGTTCTTACGCCCATTTTACTGATGAGGTTCAGAGACACTGAGCAATTTGGCCAAAATCCCACAGTAAGGAAGAGGTGAGTCTGCGGTCCACCCGGTTCTTCAGGCCGCGGCCACGGAGCTCGGGTTCTTGGGCTGCTAGTCTCCCTCTTACCCCTGGTAACTTGTCATTTCCAGCATCTCGCCTTGATGCCTGATGCTCCCCATCTAGAATCCCGTGTCTGGAGGTCCCTGGGGGCGGCTAAGTACTGTGTGTTCCCAAGGCTCTGTGGGAATTGAGGGGGTGTGTTACTGCTACCAAGTTACTCAGGCCCCAAACCCAGATGCCACCTCGATGCCGCCTGGGATCCCCCAAATCTGATCCATCAAAATCTCCTGTCAGCTCTGCCTTGAAGAGGTCCCCTAAAGCCAGCCCTTCTCTCCCGTCCCTGCCACCCAGCAAGGGCGGGGCCGTCCTCGGCCCTCCACTCAGACTCTGGCTCTGGAAGGCGCTCCAAAAATATTTGTTGAATAAATGATCTCGTTGATGCCTGAACAAACAAATGAAGAAGAGTCACCACACAGGCAAGAAAATGGACGGAGAGCAGCAGGCGGCCCTGGGCAAAAGGAAACCTCAGCCGGGAGCTCGAGCCACCTGCCAGGCCCCTCAGGTAGGGCAGGCGACATGCAGGGCACCAGGAAGGAACAGGCAGGGGGAGGGAGGCCTGAAATGGGGGTTGAGCAGTGGGGGGGAGCCACAGAGACCCCAGAAGACAACCTAGGACCAGCCTCATCCCTGGGCCTTCCTAGCTGGGCCCAGGAGTCCCCTCTCTCCCCTCAGGCGAGGTGTCTCAGTCCTCGTTCACCCCCTGGAGTTCCCCGTGTGTCTCTCCCTTCCTGGCCCACAGCCCAGACCTGAGATAAAAGAGCGGCTCCTGCCCTTTCTCAGGCAGATCCTCTGGCTGTTCCATCTGTGGCTTCTCCAGCAACGCCCCTCACATCGCTGCTCCTGCTCCCGCCTCATACTCAGCCGTGGGCCCCAGACACCACAGCCTGCCACATCCAGCACCACGGCTGCACCCCACTTAGCACGCCGCCGCCCTGACAGACCTCGGCACCCACGCACCCTGCTACTCCCTGATGTCTGGGCCTGGCCAGGTCAGTGTTGGGTTTCCCCCCCACTTCTGAGAGGGAATTTGCTACCAGAGGCCGAGACCATTTCCTCCTCCCGACATAGCGCCCGAGCCAGCGGTCAGCCCTCAGATGCCCACAACGGCCTGAGAGGAAGTTATCAGTCAGGACTCCTGGAAGTGACTGAAACCTAATTGGAGCCCAGTTTGATGTGAGTTAAGCTCTGGAGAATCTAGGCTCGTAGCTGAGCAGGGCGGGAGGTCGCTGAGTTAGACAGAAAGCAGGAGGCCATCTTGAATGCCGTCAGCATGCGCAGGGTCTCTGGGTGGCTTACAGCTCCGGGGCCAGGGTCTCCACCATGGGGAGCCAGGAACACCCACAGCCCCAGGGGAACAGACCCGCAGACCCTGGTGAGAGCAGGGCCTTCCCTTCCCATTCTAGGCTGAATAATTCTAGGGAAGGACTCTGATTGGCCCAGCAAGGGTCACATGCTTGCTCCTTGGCCCAATCACTGTGGCCAGGATGAGGAGGGCGGACAAGACCCAGCCCAGGTGGGGTACCCCCACTCTTGTCACCTCGGGTGTGCCTGTCAGCAGAAGGATGGGGAGGGGACACAGGCAGACAAAAGCCACGCGGTGGTGAGGTTCATCTTCTTACTACACATCTTATTTTGGAATAATTTTAGATTTACAGGGGGAAGAGGCCAAGAGCCCAGAGTTGCTATGTCCCCTGCACTGCTCCCCCCATGCTAACCTCTGCATCACCAAAGCACATTTGTCAAAATTAAGAAATTAGCACTGGTGTCTTGCAGCGGCCTCTGCTGCACGGCTATGAACTAGCCCGACTGGGTTCAGAGTCACCCGGTTTCCCACAAAGGTCCCTTTTCTACTCCGTGACCCCATCTGAGGTCCCCACGGCATTTAGTGGCCGTGCCTCCTCCCCCCTGTGACAGGCCCTCACTCTTCCTGCTTCTCCTGACCTTGGTGGTTTTGAAGGGCACAGTCGGGATTTTATAGACTCTCCTTCAGTGTGGGTTTGTCTGATGTTTTCTCGCGATGTGTCTGGCTGAGGGGTGAGGGGCGCAGCGTGGGGCAGTGGTGCCCTTGTCCTTGGTGCCAGTGGGGGGTCTGTGGACTCTGCAGCAAGAGAACTGAGCCCAGCACTGATTCTTGGAGGGGCAAAGCCCTGTCAGGATGGTCTGGGTGTGTGGAAACCGCAGGAGACTCTAGCCAGGACGGGGCAGGAAAAGAGACAAGGACCCTGGCTCGGTGGGAGGGAAGAGGAAGGAGGGGCTGGCAAGCAGGACTGGAGCAGCGCAATCCAGGAAGGCCTCCTGGATGAGAAGGCTGTGATGGCAGGCACAGGCAGGAGGGTGGGCTCAGATGTGAGGGCCAGCTCAGGAGCCAGGAGAGCCAGGGGTTTTCTCGCCAGTCCCCAGCCTCCAGTCACCATCCTCACCCTGTGATCTGGTGGCTGTTTTTTTTTCCTGCACTGTTCCTTGGCCACTGACCACAAGCTGCCTGCAAACACCGCTCAGACATCCATGTGGACCAGTTATTTTGCTCACGTGGCTCTTCCTTGTCTTATGCTGGGTGGGAGGTTGAATGAGATGACCTCCAAGGTGCTTCCAACAGCTGGTGAACTTTAACTTTGTGGCACTGATATTTTTCACCAGCAGACATCTGTGCTGCAGCCCCGAGGATGCTGAGTGTCGAGGAATCAGGACTCAGGACTTGTCTGTGTGATATCCAAAGCCTGATGTCCCCGGGGCAGTTTGGAGGTTTGAGATGACAGAGGAAGGGTTGGAAGAGTTCCATTCACTTACGTTTTGTAAATCTGAAATATGAAATTAACTTTGATTTTTGCAGGAACTGCTCAGTTCTTAAAAGTGGTACGAGCTCAAGGGCCTGGAATGGTGGGGGTGGGGGCACCAACCTCCCCCAGCAGGATGCTGTCAGCCCCGTTGGCCCATTTCTGCATGCTCTGCGTTACCGCCCATTTGTTAACTTTGCTTTTTTCCCTCTTAGGCAGAATATTAGGATTTACCTGCCTGTGCTCATCTTTTATCTGCCATGGAAATGTGTACCAGTTGCTTCGTCTCTCCAGGCCTCCATTTCTTTATCTGCAAAATCGAGACTAAAGGAATTCTATATCTTCTGCTTACTGTTGCTGCTTAAAAATCCAAGTGGTGAAAAAAAACAAAACATTTTATTCTGCTCATGATTTTTGTGGGTTGGAAATTCTGGAAGGGCTCCGCTGGGCAGTTCTTGCTTGGGGTTCTCACACAGGTGCAGTCAGAGGCCAGGGGACAGCCCTCATAGATGGCTCAGCTGGGCTGCGCTGATGCCCGGAAGCTGCGCTCCTGCAGCTGGCACCTGGGGCCTGCCATGGGCTGGCAGCTCTGCTGGAGCCCGTAACCACAGTGTCAGCTTCCAGCATGGCAGAATTAGAGCGGGGGACTTTTTACGTGATGGCTGGTGTCCCAGGAAAACAGGCAGAAAACCCATCGCCTTTTTGAGCCTGGCCTTGGAAATAATAAAACATACTTCCAATGCCTTCCATTGGTGATGAGTGAGTCGCTAAGCCCAGCTCAGATGAAAGGGGAAGGGACACAGATGCCAGCTCATAACTTCCACAGTATACACAATAAATATACACATATGTCATAAGTCTGTGTGTATATAGGCCATGTGTGTACATAGTATTAGAATAGTCCTAGATGCACATAGAGAGTCCTCAGATGTACTTAGTATCGTGCTTTAGCCCCAATAAGAGAAATGATTGATAATGCAAGATGATGTGTTGAAACTTCAAAGTAAGGATGACAATATCCACCAAAGTTCTGTAATTCAGAACACGGCATAGCCATCAATCGTGAGGAGGATTTTGCTGTGCCTGTGGAAGGTGCTGATTTGGAGACGTAGGATTCTATGCAAGCAAAGGAGAAAAAGCAAAAACAGAAAGTGCAATCCTGAATACTGCAAGCGGAGCTGCGTCACGCCCAGGACCGCGGAGGGGCTCTCGGGGCCAGCCAGCCTGTGGAGGCTGGGCACCTTTGAAGTTTTCTCACCTTCCCCACAAAACAATCAAGGCATCCCTCTGGGAGACCATCGGTGTTTCTAGAACAAGTATAAGATAAAGCTCTCCTGTACGACTCCCGTCACCAAAGGCAGAGGAGAGACCAAAAGCCCAGAGGCTTGTGGGTATTGAAGCCGGACACAGGACATTCCATGGCCAGCACCCTGAAAAGCCAGCCACACGGGGAGGGACAAGGTGGAGCAAACAGCTTCCACTAGTGGCAAAATTATGTTATCGTTTATCACATAACACTTCTGGGGGAGGAGGCCCATGCAATCAATGACCAACGTGGCAAGATTGGTAATTACCATGAGTGCATGCTGGCGGGGCCCTGTCCCCTGGGGACAGCACGTCAGACTGTCACACAGCAGGGGGCATGGCAGGCAAGTCCCCTCCTTTCTTTGGGTTGAGCCCTGGCCTTGTTGGATGAGGGAGGGGCCCTGCTCTTGGCCATCTTCAGAGTCCTGTTCCTGATTTCCCAGCCTCCCTTGCAGCCAGGCATAGCCATGTGACCCTGTTCCAGCCATTGAGATCTAAGCAGCAGGTAGGCTTCTAAGAAAGCTTTTTCTTTCAGGTTTCTAAGAAAGATTTTTTTTCTTTTAAAAGAAGCAGACATGACTGGTGCACCCCAACTTTCTCCCACCTGGAATGCTGGCTGAATCTGGCGCCCAGATAAGCCCCTTGTTGCTTTCTTCAGGGTTTCCTGTCACGTGGGGGGGAAAGCCCCTCATTGGCAAACTCACACCTTCCCAGTCTCCAGACGTCCACTCTCTCTCCCTGTTTTTGGGGAAGCCATGGGTGACCTTTGCTGATGCACTGAGGGAGCAGAAGCAACCAGAAGGAGCTCCACCAATGCCAGGATGCTCAGGACCCCAGGCCCACCTTGTTGCCAGGGCTGTTCCTCCAGCCCTTTCTCCTTCACCTTCATTTTCATTTTTCCCTCCACAAAATCATTCCTATCACCCCACACACACCGTTTCTTCATCTTAAAAAAAAAAAACCCGTCTTGAGATCACATCCCCATTTCTCGCCTTTCTTTTATGGAAAAAAAGGACTGAAGGAGTGATCTCCGTTCCCTCACCCAAGCCCTCCCCCTGAGGCCCCACCCTGCACTCCCCCTCAAGGTCACCAGCCTCTCACCCCACCTCTGACTTGTCCCACTAGACACGGGGGACCACTCCCTCCTTGAAACCCTCTCCTCTTGCTCTCCTCCTAGAGAGTCAACTCTGTGAGAAACAGAAAGCTCCTGGCCTTCCTCACTGCGCCATCCTCACCACTGGAGGAAATCAACCCTATTCACTGAATTAAAGAAAGACTGCAAGTTGTCCCCTGATGTCTGGCTGACCCTTCTATGGTTACTGCTGAACATGTAGATGCCCAGGTGAGGACTACGTTTCCCAGCCTACCATGTAGATAGGGGTGGCCACACGACTGGGTCCTGGCCAGTGGAATGTGAGCAGAAACAAGCTGTGCGCTCTCCTATTCGTGTTCTCAAAAGAAAAGGTGCATACCTCTCCTTTGTTTTTCTGTCCCTCCTATGGGCTGGAATGCAGATGCAATGGTAGGAGCTGCTGCAGCCATATTAAACCAGATGGAGGAGCTGCCTGCAGGTTGAAGAAGGCAATAAATAATAAAATAAGTAAGTTAATTCATTAATTTTAAAACACAACAAACTATCAACCTATCAGCACTGGTCACATTATGCTCAGATTGCTCTATAAGAAAGAAGTAAACCCCATCCCAGTTAAGTCATTTTGGCTTTTCTTAGTAGCAGACAGCCCTATATTCTCGGAAACGCACCTTTATTTATTAAAGCATTGATAATAGGATCTTTTCTACTCCTGCAGCCTCACCTGTGCATAGACAAGGGACACATCCTCCACAGTGTATCTGAGTCCCATTCATTACTCACCACCGATGTGCAGGGGAGGACTTTTTTGTGTTGGTGATTACTCTGAGTAAACCAGAAAGGGATGCTGGCATCAGGACTGACGCACCATCACGTGGGCTATAAGGAAGGCACAGCCATGTGGGTGGAGTGCTTGCTGGGGAGTCACAGGGAGCCCCGGGGGGGCAACAACCTGCCTCCCCCAACTTCCTTCAGTGCTAAAAGAAACTGAGAACATTACAAGTGCCATCAAAGCTGGGCCACTGGGAGGACATCATTTAACCGACAGAATAAAACTCTCCTTTCCCAGCTGCATGACTCTCTTAGGCCAAGGGCTACATCATGTTTTCTCCAAACGAGGGACGAGATTAAAACTCTGCAGGGACGATGACGCCAGCGAGCACCAGACCTGACTAGGAAACGTGACTTGCCAAGCACTCTGCCCCTTGAATGATCCCACCCTGTGGCTTTGCAATTTGCACATTTCATAAAAAGATATCAGCATTTTGTAAGACCAAACTGGGGGCAAATTTCTTAATCCCGGAGTCTGACTCTGTCTCAGCACTTGATGATTTCCCACTTGCTCAGGGAGAGAGAGCGATGACACAGCAATGAGCATATTAAAAACATCCAAAGAGCTGCTGCTGAACGAAAAAGAACTCTCTCCCCTGTGAAATGCAACCAAAGTGGGGTCCTGGCTGCCTGGCCCCATGACTCTCCAGGACTTGAGCGCCCTGAGTGGCATCTTCTGAGACTTCCATGAGAAGCCGCTTCTTCCTCAGCTCAGGATGCCTGTCCAGTCCTCAGAGCCCAGAACCACCGTCTCCAGCGCAACCCCCTGCAGCTGAGGAAGGAATCAAAGACCCCAGCGCCTTCCTGTGGGAAACTCGATGTAGGCAATCGAGCCTGTCATGGGGGGGCGTGGGGAGCAGGGGCCAGGCTCCTTCACATCGTGACAAGGGATGATTGAGGGCCTACTGTGTGCCAGAAGCATCCACAGTGAACATCTGAGAGAAAAAAAAAAGATGGATTACAAACAAAATCAAAATCATCTCTCTCAATGAAACGAGCCATTTTCATCATGGCGAGATATGCATGGCGTGGAGGTGACCGTCTGAACCATTTCGAACAGTTCAATGGCACTGAAATACATTTCCAATGTTGTGCAACCATCACCCCATCCATCTCCAGAATGATTTCATCCTCCCTGACTGAAACTGTCCCGTTACACGTCTCCATCCCTCGCTCCCCCGGCCCCCAGGGACCTCTGCTCGGCTTTCTGTCTATGACCTCTCGGCTCCGGGCGCCTCCAGCAGTGCAATCAGACAATATTTGTCCTTGTATATTTCACTTAGCATCCTGTCCTCAAGGTGTCACCCATGTGGCAGCATAGGTCAGCGTTTCCTTCCTTTTTAAGGCTGACTAATATTCCATCGTATGTACCTTTTTCATATTTTTATGTGTTCATGGATGTTTCTTATTTTGTGAATCCATGCACCTGTTGATGAGCATTTGGTCTGTCTCCACCTTTTTGGGCTGCTACGACTCGAGCGCTACGCACACGGCAAGGATCTGAGTCTCTGCTTTCACAGGGTTTCACGCTCCCGTGGGCACACGCCTAGGAGCGGGCAGCTGAGTGGAACGCCCCACTGGTGTGGAGACTCTACGTGTCGCCTTTTGAGGACTAGTGCCAGCCCTACCCTCAGGGCTGCCTCCTCCCACCCTCTAGCATCCATCTGAGCATTGCAGGGCATTTCTAATTTCTTAATTATGACGGATCATCATTACTGAGGTAGGACTGACACACACACTAGAGTGTCAGGTGGCCAAGGATTCCCTTGTGTGTGTGCTGCCAGCCAGCGCCGCAGGGAGTCTGGCTAACGTCCATCTCCAAACATGGTTACAAAGGTTTTTTACATACCTTTTTTCACTGTGCCTAACATCGGGTCCACCTGGGCACCCTGAGCCCTTGTAGAGTCCGAGGGGTCACAGGTTGGAGAGAGCTGGTCTGGGAGGTTCAGTCCTGAGGTTCTTCCATTAGAGGCCTGGGATTCTCGGTCCTGTCGCGCTTGGGCTCAGGCGTGTGGCGCTGTGGGACCGGCCGGCACGTGCCCTCCCAGGACATGTGGACTTAAGGTCAGCCCACGGGGTCTTCTCCAGCCCACCTGGGAGGAACGCTGGCTGCCGGGGAGGCGCTTGGGGCGGGGGTGGGGGGAGCAGTTGCAGCTGAGCTGGGGAGCAGTTGAGTAAATGGAGAGGAAGCGGAGGAGAGGGACCAAGGGAGGAGGAGAGCGAGGTCTGGGGGCCCACCTGAGGGAAGCTTGAGCCCAGAGGGCTGAGGGCTGGCTGGAGCTGGCCCCACGTTGGGGAAGGGCCGAGAGAAGAGACAACCATTCACTCTTTCAACAAGCCTCCGGGAGCGCCGGCCTGCTGGGAGCTGGCTGAGGATAAGGAAGTCCAGCCCTCCCGCGGGCCTCTACCTTCACCGAGTCTAATCTGCCGCTGCAGGTCTCCCCCGCAACAAGGGCCACCTTCTGCTAGGGGCTCCCGCACAGCTGCATGCCGGGCACGTTCGCCATTTTACAGGTGCGAGGGTAACCGCAGCTCAGAGAGGCCAGGGCGCTGCCGGAGATCACACGGCTGGGAAGCAGGAGCGCCCACACAAACTGCCTCTCTAAAGGCGAGAGCTTCCTCCAAAGACAACGGCGAGGACATGACAGCACACTCTCCACACGGCCTAGTATTTTCCTCGCCTTCTTGGAAGGCTGGACGGCCACCTCCAGCTCTCCCCAGTGTCTCCGGGTCCTCCCCGCTCCTCCCCAGGTCCCTGCTCTGCCCATCCTGCCCTCGGCCCTCCGCAGGGACACATCTCCTCCTTCTGTGAGGTGCCCAGCCCACCATGGCGGCCTCCGCGGCGAGCCAGCCCCCCGAGAGCGGCCCTCCTTCCCCCAGCAAGCAGGACTGCTGAGAGCAAACATTTTTTCCCCTTTGTCACATAGAGTAATAGACTCTTGAAAAATCACATACTCCGAGGATCACCGCTGAATCTTATAATCTGAGACTCTCCATCAAAGAACCTTAGAACCATCAACTAATAGAATCTCAGAGTCAGCGACTCAAGAATCCCAGAACGCTCCAGCCCCGCCATTGTGGGCCGGGCGGTGCTGAGCGGCCAGGCTGGCGGGCTGACAGGGCAGGCTGGGGAGGTGAGGGTGATGGGGACGGGAGGGAACCCGGGGGTACAGAGGACTGGATGGGGTGCTGGAGGGAGGCTCAGCCTGTTGTCATGCTCGCTGAAGCAGTTGGCGGCAGAGGCCTGGCCCTGTTACTGATGGGTTTTAATTATGTAAATCAGCCCAGGGTCTGCGCCTGGCACAGGCTTGGCATCCATCAGCTGACAACAGAATTAATCAATAAATAAGCAGCTGGATGGGGGTCTGGGCATGAGCACCTGGCCACACCCCTGCCTCCACCCAGGAGGTGTCCTCCCAAGCGGGCAGGAATGGAGGGGTGCGTGACAGCCTCAGCTCACGGCTGCAAAAAGTACACACGTGTGTGTACCTGTGTGTGAGCACATGCCTACATGTGTGCATGCATGAGCATGTCCCCACACACACATGTGCCCATGCATACATGCATGCTCTGGGTGGTTTGTGCATATGCACAGATGCACATGCCTGCGCGCACACACACCCTCTACCACAGCAGCCCCCATGTGCCCGCCCTCATCCACCCAGAGAGCAGAAGCAGGAGGCACGTCCCTCCTTCCAACCTCATGCTCTTCACTCCTCAGGTGGGACAGCCTTGAGGCTTGCGGTCACCCCAGTTGCCCTCCACAGCCGCCCTGTGAGGCTATCCCTGCTGGGCTGAGGCCGTAACTTAACAGAAAAGGAAACTGAGGCTCAGAGAAGGGGTGCCTGGTATTTGCATCCTGGAGTCTTCAAGCCCCATCATCCCCCCACTCCAAGGTTCAGAGAGACTGGGGAAGAGAAGTGGGGGAGGGAGGTGCTGGGGACCCCAGAGCAACCTGAGCATTGCCCCCCACCCTGAGAGCAGACCCGTCCTGACCTGGCCCTGAGAAGGGCCACGTCTGAGGCGGAGTGGGGGGGGCAGGCCCCCCCTGCTTTCCAAGGAAGCGTGATGGATTGCTCCCTCCCGCCGCCAGCACACTCACTCCTGCTCCCCAGCGCTGCCCCCATAAATCAGCCTCCTCATCTGGGCTCTGGCTGTTCCTTGATCACTTTCCAGCGTTGGGGGGCTGGGTTTTCACCACCCCTTGTGGCAGGAGGGGGCTGGCCGGGAGAATCGTAAAATTAATGAGCAGGTTTCCTCTTGCCTCTTTTGCTTCTCTCTGCCTCCAGCTTTCTGCCGGCCTCTCCTCTCCGGCTGGAACCACTAAATACTGAGCGAGGAAATGAACCGAGACAGGAATGGATTTCTGAGACATCGGGCGGGCGCTGTGGTCTCCGTCTCCAGTCGGACTGACTGTGCCGCTGGGATCAGCTCTCAACACCCACTTTTCTCAGCCTCAGGCAAGGGAGGGGTTTCCCAGCAGACACCCACATTCCTGCCTCTGCACCCCAGAGAGGCAGGGAAAGGAAGCCAGAAGGAACCCCGTGTAGGAAGAACGAATCTCAGGGGGCGCAGGGCTCAAGGGATCCAGAGAAGGTGCAGGGGCCCCAAGAAGGACCTTGGGAGCCAGGGTCCCCCCCGGACCCTGTCAGCCTTGTGGAGATACCACCCGGTGAAGCAGCAGACAAAACCTGTGGGCTTCGGGAAGGCCCAAGGCACACGGTGCTGGGAATTCAGAGTGCAGGATGGTGGGCAGTGGCCCAGCCTCTGGAACCAGCCTCCCCAAGCCCAAAGCTGTGCGATCTGGGCAAGCTGCTTCACCTCTCTGTGCCTCCGTTTCCTTCCGTGTCAAGTGGAGTAAATAATAACAGTGCCTGCATCATAAGTGAGTGCACACTCTTAGCAGGATCAAGTGCTTTAAAAATTAGTATTGTCGGGCCTCCCCGGTGGCGCAGTGGTTGAGCGCTGGGTTGCGAAGCTGCCCGCGGCCTCTGCGGCGCCGGTTCGATCCCCGGCTGCTCCCCGGCCACCGGAGGAGGGTCCCACATGGCGCGCAGACCTCTCCTGCCGCCCGCTGCTCCCCTCAGCAGTGTACTTCGGTCCTTCTGACTGCTCTGCTCCCCGCTCTGGCTCTGGTGAATTCTCTCACCCTCCCATGCTTCTGACTGTACCCAGTGCTTGTATAAACAAAAACAAACAAACAAACAAATAAATAAATAAAACATGCCTCTATTAAAAAAAAAAATTAGTATTGTCACCATAATCAAAGGTGCTGACAGCCAAGCCTTAGTGTGCACCAGAATCCCCTCCCCTCCCCGTCAGTTTTGCCTCAATAAATCCAGGAAGGGGCCTGAAGCTTGCATTTCTGACATCTCAGCCACTGATACTGGGACTGCTGGTCCAGGGGTCACACTTGAAGAGCCCTCTAGAGCCTATGTTTTTTCTCAGCCTCCTTGCCCACTCTCTAACTTGAAGACTGGTTCCCAGAGGGGTGGGCATGTGCCCAAGGCCACACACACACACACACACACACACACACACACACACACACACACACACACACACACACGGTGGCTCCATCACCACTAACTGCTCCCCACCAATATCCTTCCCCAGGAGCTCCCTCCAGGAGCAAAGAGGCAGAATTTGCCTCCCTGGCTAGAGGTAATCTTTTAATCTCTGGCTTTAATCTTGCAGCCCAGCATGAACCCAAATCCACAGAGGAAAAGGAAGGGGGTGGGGGACTCAGATCTCATTGGACGGGGAGACAAGTAATCTAGGCCTTAACTCCACCGCTCACCACAAATCTCCCATCCTATGTCTGCCTTCCCCAGCCCCAGGTCCTGGAAAGCACCTCTACCAGGGGATGAGGAGGGAGACAGCAGTCAAACGGGATGTGGACAGGTGAGTCCCACATTCAAAAGACTCCATGGTGGGAGGCAATGCTTTCTTAAACAGGACCCAAAACCCATCAAGCATAAAAGAAAAAGTGATAAATTGGGTTTTATTAAAATTAAGAATTGATGTTCCAAGAAAGACACCATTAAGAGGGGAAAAAGCCAACCCTCAGATGCAGAAAGGATATTTCAGTACATGTACCTGAAAGGACTAATAGTCAGCATAAATAAAGAACACCTACATTCTGCAAGAAAACAAACAGGCACAATTTTTAAAATGGGCAAAACATATGAACTGGCACTTGCAAAAGAGATCATCGAAATGTACACTATGCCACAAAAAGACAACACTAGCAACCATCAGAGGTGTGCAAAGTGAAAGCATAAGTTACAACTCACACCCACAGGAATGGCCTAATTTTAAAAGACTGAAAATGTCAAATATTGGAAAAATGAGGTGCTGCTCTCCCCACAGCTGGACAGGGTATCAGTGATTCAACACATTTCTTACAAAGTCCAACATGCACCTCTCCCATTACCCGATACTCCACTCCTGGGTGTCTACCCAAGCAAAGCGAAAACAACAGCCTACACACAGACAGGTGTCCAGCAGGGCCCAAGACTGGCACTGCTAGAGGGTACTGAGGGGCAAGTTAAACTTCAAACCAGCAAGCTCTGCAGCACCTGGGCCGTGGTCTTCCCTGGTGGGCCTCTTCCTCTACCTCCCCCACAACTGTTTGGTCTGAAACAGTCACAGCACCTAGAAAAGAGATAGGTTCCACTTTGGGGTGCACAGGCCTCTACTACAGAGGCAGAGACCGAGGGTGCCCATGTAGTCCCGACCTACCTTAGTAACAAGATTCACATGAAACATGCCCAGTCAGAAGATTCCATTTCTCAGCCTTCCTGGCAGCAGAAGAGGCCAATGAGGGGTGAGTGTAAGCTGATAGGTGGACAGAGGGAAACAGTCAGCTGATCTGGGCCCACGTCCCAAAAGTAAGATGTGATGCTGGTGATTCAGCAGCCATTTTGGATCATGAGGTGACCTGTTGGTGGGAGCCTGGTTCCTGGATGCCTACTTCCTAACATCCTTTATGTGGGAGGAAGAGAAACCTCAACCTAGTTTAAATCAGTTATTTCTAATCTGGGTTATCAGCAGTGTCAAACAATCCCTAACTATGAGGTAGATATTAAGGTACAACCCTCACCTCTTGCACTCCC